AGATTCCCAGGTGATTCTAATGTGCAGCCAAGGTTGAGAACCACTGATCTAGTATCTCCAGCATTTATCATTGTGCCTGGAAATAAGAGAAACTCAAATACTTCTTGATTTACTTCAAGATCTGAGGAAGTTTCTCAGGGAACTTACTGTTGTCGTAAATAAACCATCCTCCTTCCTCCTCCCTCTAGGTCAGTGGTTCTCAACCTTCTGGCCCTTTAAATACATTTCCTCAGGTTGTGATCCAACCATAAAATTATTTTCGTTGCTACTTCATAACCGTAATGTTGCTACTGTTATGAATCGTAATGTAAATATCTGATATGCAGGATGGTCTTAGGCGACTCCTGTGAAAGGGCCCTTCGACTGCCAAAGGGGTCGCGACCCACAGGTTGAGAACCGCTGCTCTAGGTCCTAGCAGTGGTTCTTAACCTTCCTAATGCCTCGACTCTTTAATACAGTTCTTAATGTTGTGGTGACCTCCAACCATAAAATTATTTTTCGTTGCTACTTCATAACTGTAATTTTACTACTGTTATGAACCGTAATGTAAATATCTGATATGCAGGATGTATTTTCATTGTTACAAATTGAACATATTTAAAGCATAGTGATTAATCACAAAAACAATATGTAATTATATATGTGTTTTCCGATGGTCTTAGGCGACCCTTGTGAAAGGGTCCTTCGACCCCCAAAGGGTTCGAGACCCACAGGTTGAGAACCGCTGCTCTAGGTGTCTAGGTTTCTTACAGAACCTAACAGACAGGTCACTGTTCACTCTCCTTACCACTTCAGATAAACTTGACCATTCCCTCCTGTGTGCTTCCATCGAATGTAGCAGGTAAGTCCCATCCTAGCATCAATCATGTTTAAGATTGTATTCCAATCATCTGATATGTTATGCACACAAAAATGAATTAGGGTTCACCTTGATTAAAGAGACTTTCTTAGACATTCTAAAACGTCAGCATTAGGCATACACCGTAAAAAAACATCTTTGCAACCCAATTCAAATTATTGTTTTTAAAACGCTGCATCCTCCAAAAACTTTAATTGTCCTCAGACAGATGACCCAAGCTTAGCTACGGAAACTCAAATGTTAGGAGGAGACCATGACTAGAAGGTCAAGAAAAGGATGATTGGCTGTTAGGGCTCAGAAGTTACATGCTCTTCTCAGGCCGATGCTAGAACTGGGAAACAGCATGAACAGTAATGTTCAGTTTTTGAAATACGGTTTTTGCATCGTCAAGAAAAAAGATTAACCTATCAGGAAGAAGTCAGCACATTCAATTACCAATCAAGAGCAGGAAAGAAGCCAAAGCCTGGGGATACCCAAGCACCAATGAGGACGTCATTCTCTAGTCTCCGCCAATGAGCGGCTGGATAGGGGGCGGGGCAACAGGCGGACCAATTGCCACAAAATACAATCTGCACTACAACTGTTCTAACCACAGTCCTCGCCTCTCAAACCACTGGAACAAATTCCTGACAAGGCGTTTGTTAAATACTCTCTACTCTCCTCGCCCCGGGACAGTTACAGTGAAGTCCCTTCCTCATACCAGAGCTAAGGCCTTCTTTCCACCAGCTCCCACAGACTCGGAGAAAGAAGAATTGCAACTTTGCACTTTTTGCCTTCACAGGAACTGGCAGTCCAGCGTTACCTGAGGGGGTGGGACAGCTCCAGTGCGCAGGCGTGCATGCCTTGTGGGGGCGAGGCTGTAGTGACGCAAGGCAACCTGGGAGTTGTATTTTTTTGTGCTGCTGGAACTCAAGTGCTCCTGGGGCCGCCTGAACTACATTTCCCAAGAGCCTCCGCGACTTCGGGGCGGGAGGGCTGGTTTGTTAATGAGCTCGAGGAAGCCGCGGCGCGGCCCACCAGGTTCCAAAACAAGGAAATGAAGGGGGGAGGCGGGATTGGGGGTGTCTGCTGGAGCTGCCGCCACCGCCGCGGAGGAGGAGGAGGAGGTGGCTGCGGGGACCGCCGAGGAATCCCCTGCTGAAGGCGGGAGGAGGAGGAGGGACTGAGCGGCGGCCCCCGCGTCCCGGTGCCTCTATGGGGGAAGCAGACAATGGATTATGATTTCAAGGCGAAGCTGGCGGCGGAGCGGGAGCGGGTGGAGGATTTGTTTGAGTACGAAGGGTGCAAAGTGGGACGCGGCACCTACGGGCACGTCTACAAGGCGAGGCGGAAAGATGGGTAAGAGCTGGGGCGGGGGAGTAGGCTGGC